TTTCCATCTATACATCTGCTTTTGCTGCTTCTGTTGACTGCAGCGATGACTGCACACCGTATTATACCGCGGAATGCACAAAATTGCACGGGCTGCTCTTCGTCCGGTGGCAAAACTGGTATACATGTTGTAATGAGCGCGGGGAAAAACCGACACTGCAAGTGTAGCCACTACGTATTATACAGGCAGTGAAAGCGTATAAACGGCAGGTTCAAAAGTCTTGATCGATTACTCATCCCCTTTCCGTTATTCTTCAAAAATGAAAATGAATAAATCAAATCAAGTCAACGATTTAGTCGCTTTCTTTAATGAGTAGGAAACCAACTGTCAAACTGACACTGCATCTTATGGCAAATCGTCGATTCAAATCTTTCTTGTTCGTAAAAAAATAGCAACAACAATGACTGTGATTGTTTTCTTTCTTCATAAAAAAACATTTTAAATTCCGCGATCTCGGAAACCATTGTTATTGTTTATACGCGCGGGTGCAGGGAGCAGCGCCCTCTCGTCGAGCGCTGTGCAGTTTTCTTTGTCTATCGTCGCATATTATATACTGCACGAATACAGAGAGCAGCTTGTGCGAGCCTTTTTTAGTTCATCCCCCGAGTTTCGATGATGCGCTCCGAAATGAATTCACTTCAGGAGAGAATATTTTCGCTTATAAATCGAATAATCGTTTTGCCTCTTATCACTAGGGATTATTATCAACGATTGTCATTCCTATTGTAACCGGAGCGTACACATATTACATTTAATACTTGACAAATCAGTTTTGACATCGAAATACGATGCATCGGATAGTTGGGTGGAATTGCGTCGATTCGATATGACATCAGGCGGATTGGCATTCTATCGAGGCTCTATGAGTCTCTCTATAACATGCGTTCATCGTATGTATTGTCTTGCAAATTAAAAAAGCAAATAATAATTATATTTTAGCGTAGGACGTTCTATCGAGAACTTTTGCGCCTCTCGTGTAAATGCCGTATTACGAGCGTGACAGTAAGTACATGCGGACTCATATATATTTGCGTGCGTATGTGTAAAGTATAAAACGGGCGCACGCATTTAGTTTTATATATAATAATATTCTTTCTCGACGGCGCATTTATCGTTTTCTCTCTTCCTCTTTCGGTATACGCACCGTATACGTAGTCGTACTCGTCGTCGTCGTCAACATCAACGCGCAGCCCCTTCGGAAATTGGCCGGGGTAGCAATGGAGGGGATACATTTTATATATATATCCAAGTGCGAAAAAGGGAGGAAAAGGTAACTTTACCGGCTCATAGGGGTAGCTGCTCGGTGGATAGATATATTTATATATCGCGCGGCACGTACAACATAACGTGCTCTCTCTCTCTCTACGCTCGACGAGGCAGCGCTAGCAGTTGCTGTAGTCGCTGCTGCTGCCGGCGGCAGTCTACAGCAGGGGCACACGCATTTCCAAACGCCTGACATGTGTGTGCGAAAGCGAGCTGTGTAGAGCTGGGATATTATATAGCCGTGCCGAGCGCGGTAAGCGAGAGAGAAGGGGCAGAGACGGGGAAAAGACGGCTGAATCCAAGTGCCGCGGCGGCGGCGGCAGTTGTGCTGCTCGCTGCACCGCATGCTATATATGCTATATCTGTATACGCATCGAATTCGCCGTATGTTTTTGTCGGTCTGCTGCTGTGCGTGTATAATATATACATACACACGTACACATACATCGACGCACGCACACACGACACTACACAGACTCGCTCTCCAGCTCGCGACTCGTGTTATATCGCTATATATATTATAGGATAGGGAGAAAGAGAGAGAGAGAAGCAGCGCGAGCAGCGAGTGGCGGGGTTAAGGTACTGAGGCAGCGACGCGCGCGCGGCCAGTTCTGTCGAGTCGCTCGTACCGGCGTCAAGTCCCAAGCTGCCTATCTCTGCCCGAGTGTGACACCCGACGACGAGAGTGTTGTATTATGTGTGTTGTGTTTGTTTGTTAAAAGGCGACGTTTATTATTAAATCGCTTGTGGCAGTTATTATTGGAAAGCATATCCTGGAATAGTGAGCTTTTGCAATTTGTGCGTCGAGCGGCATCTTATACAGCAATAGCAGCAGTAGCAATAAAACCTGTGATCGTGTGTGTGTGTGTGTGTGAACGAGCCCTCTTCCCCTCTTGTCGGCGGCGGCAGCGTCATTTGTTTCAATTTTTGCGCTACACGCTCTCCTGTGAAACACACACAAGCGCACCGCATTATCATTATACATGTGTCGAGTGAATTGGCCGTTTGCCTGTTGAGCCTGCACCACAGCAGTCGATTGTTATTCCCCGTTGTTTGCCAATTGTTACAACTGTTTCCAGTGTGAGTTTGTGCTGTGTGCGCGAGTTATAAATAAGAAGAAAAAAAATATCGTTGAACATTTTTTCTACAGTGTGTGCGTGTGCTGTGGCGTGTGTGTTCGTTGATAGATAGTACACCCCCGGATAACAAGGAGAGAAACGAGCGTAACAGAGCCACGATACTCAACAGAAACACGACGATTGTAAGAATCGAGGTGAGGCCTTCAAAAATTTTGCTCTCGGCGAATTCATTTTCGACGACGACGACGATGTAGTGTATAGTACGCGCTTCCTTTGTACGAGTGTGCGTGTAAATGTGTGTGTGCGCGCAGACAACAGGACAAACGAGAACATCGTCGAATAGCAGGATGAGCGGCTTCGAAACGCGAGAGCGTTATAATTTTATATAATTTTCGATTAATACGATTGAATCAAGCCGGCGATGAAGGCGCGGATTCGACGCGTCTCCCTTTGTCTGCTCGGCGCGAACGTTCGTCAGCGTTTGACATTTGTAAGCCGACAAACGAGCGTATACCGTACAACATTATTATTTGCCCCTCGTCGAATATTACGAGCGAAATTTTCCATCGTTGGCTCGCAAGCGCACGACGCGACAAGGGCAATTGCGCGAAAAAAAGAAAATCCTGCGCGACGATAAAATGATCAATGTAATAAAGACAAAAACATTAAAATACACATAAGCTTCGGTGGTTGCAAAGTGAGCGAGAGAGCTGACTAGCTTGTCTCATCGATCGGCGGTATATACGACGACGAACGAACGAACGAACGACTACACGTCGGCTTTGAGGGGTGGTTGTTGGCTATATATACAGTATACGGCACGTATACATGTATATTCGTAACTCTCTGCTGTACACTGCATACGTACATGTGTGTGTGTGTATGTGTGTGAGTCGTCGTTGTGTATACGCACAGATGCTCATTGCTTTCTCTTTCTCGCTCGCTCTCGCACTTGGTATACAGCAGTCGACCAGCCGTTCTTTGTGCGTGCGCATATGTACGTTGGCTTTGGGCGCGAACGAACGAACGAGCGAAACGAGCGAGAGAGCGAATATAACCAGACTAAGGTCGGCCGTATAGGCGCTGTTCCAGCAGCAGCACTCACTCTGTTTGGCACTCTGGCCGCCTTCTTGTGTGTTAAACGCGCGCGCTCGCTCGTCCGCGTCAATCTTCGGCTTCCGAGACGCGCTGCTATATATATCTAATAATATTTAACCGCGAGAGTGGCTTCTCGTTATAATGTACACAAATATAACTACTACTCGAAAGAAAGTACCCTAGCCATCGAGAAATTTTTCTTTCGAGTATATAGATCGCACGAGATATTCTATTTGGCGCAGCAACAGAGATTCGTCATTAGTCATTGCGCATCGGTGTAAGATACACAAAAGCATTGACGCGCGCGAGCACGCACCAGCTCTCGCGTGACGTAAATAAAAGCGCGCGAGAGCCTGCAGACGACGCCCCGGAACGGAGCGATCGACGAACGGAGCTGCCGCTATATATGGCTATAACGAACCAAAACCAAAAATGAATTGAACCGAATGTATCTTCCAGTCGTGTATGCGAAACATTGAAAAGATTTCCAATCACGGCACCGCGATTCAAAGAATCTTAGTAGAAGCGCGGCGTGTTTGTGTTTGCGGCGAGAGAGATCATCATCATCATCGTGGAATTTAATAAAGCACGTCGACTAATGACGCGTCGAAATCTCGCTGCGCGGGTCTTTTCAAAGCCGTGTGAGCGCGCGTTTAGTTGCATTTCTCGTCTACATTCGAGTCTATAATGGGGATTACGTATGAGGCGCGCGAGTAATGGATCGGACACCAGAGAGACTCCGAATATGCCGAACTCGCATAATTACCGGAAAAAACGAGCTGTATAACCTGATAAAAGTAACTAGAGAAGCGTAACGTGAGAGAATCTTTGATAATTGCAGCGCGATCGATTCGAGAATCGAAAAGAAAGTAGCAGGTGCGTAGGTGTATAGAGCGTCGTCTGCCACGATCACGCGTCGCGACGTAAATGACTTGCTGCTACGTCAGTGCACGACAGAAGCCAGACGGAAAGTGATCTTTTAACATTTCGGAGTAATTATTTTCTCAGATGATTTTTTCGGTAAAACTGAAAAAACGCGCGTGGTCCAACATTTTCACCACCTACATGCGTACCCGATGCATCCGTTCTACTCGGTTCAGTATACAGTATACGTGCGTGGGTTCACGGGCGCGTTTGCGCGAGAAATTCACCAAGCTCTCGACACACGACTATCATATCCTGCATTTACGAGCATAGTCGTGTACGCGACTGACAATTTCCTTTGTTCTGTGCGCGCGCGCGATCACGTTCGCATCGCGAACTTTGATACCCTTCGTAAATCTGGGCCCGGCGAAATCCAGTATACTATACACGCGCGCCTTCAACCGAATTTCGTCGTTTCAAAGTCACTGAACTATTGAATTCCTTCTGCTAGGTAAAGTTTTTTATCAACCAAGCCTTCAGGCTAGTATGTTAGTTTGTAGTGCCGTATCTCTATATTTTGTATTCGATGTGTTTGACAATTTACTATAAACATACATAAAAAACAGTTGACAAAAAATTTAAAAATGAATATATAAACAAATGTACTAATAATTTTTCTGTTTTGATTATCTGCAGGAATGCCGGTTGACTGAAGATGGCCTCGCCGACACCATCGCTGGAATCGCGTGCTAATTCACTCGGCTCATTGGCCTCTTTGTCACCGCTGACGGTGAGCGGCAGTTCGCCACCGGCGAGCGATTCAGCGATCGGCGACGTCGACAGCTGCGACCTCTGCCTCGACGCACCCCTCAACAAGCAAGCCGGAGACACTCCCTGTCCACGCTGCCGCGGTGGTAGCAGCAGCGCCGGCGCAAGCAGCCTCTCGTCCAACTCGTCCACGACCACGACCTCCAACGGCCACTTGGGCAGCAGCGGCGTCAACAACCACAACGGCAACAGCCAGAACGGTAGTAGCGGCAACAACAGCAACCATAACAACAGCAACAACCTCCACAACAACAACAACAACAACTCGCAGCTGCTGAACGGCAACAGCGGCTCGTCCCAGAATCTCGCCACGACCATTAACGGCGGCATACGCTGCACCGGCTGCAAGTCCAACGAGTCCGACGCGGTAGCGCGTTGCTTCGACTGCGCCAACTTTCTCTGTCCAAACTGCGTGATGGCTCACCAGTTCATGCACTGCTTCGAGGGTCACCGGGTGCTCAACCTCGGCGACTCCAAGATTTCAGCTAACAATCCTGGCAACTCACCCGGCGGCCAGAACGAGTCCAGCAACAACGCTGGTCTCAACAATGGCCAGCAGCAGCAGCAGGTGGTAAGCAGCAACGGCCAGGACAACAATTCCGGCAAGCAAATCGGCTCGCAGGCCACCAACAACGTCGTCCAGAGCCTCGTGAGCGGCACCACGTCGCTCCTCATCAACGGCGGCGGCGGCAGTAACGGCGAGAAGGTGCTGCTCTGCAGCCGACACAAGAGCGAGGTGCTCAAGTACTTCTGTCGCACGTGTTCCGTGCCCATCTGCAAGGAGTGCACCGGCTCCGATCACCCCAGTCCCATGCACGACTACGCAAGCATCGCCGACATCGGGCCCCAGCAGCTCGAGATCATAGCGAGAACCATACAGGAGTGCCGATCCAAGGCGAACGAGGTCCGGGCAGCTGTGAAGACCGCCGACCACGGGGCCGCTCGGCTCCAGGTCCAGTACCACAAGGCCCAGAACGAGATCAACGACACCTTCCAGTTTTACCGCTCGATGCTCGAGGAGCGCAAGCAGGAGCTGCTCAAAGAGCTCGAGAGCATATTCTCGGCCAAGCAGATATCCTTGAGCGTGCTCACTCAGAAAGCCAACGACATGGCCGACAAGATGCAGCAGACCTGCGATTTCGTTGATCGCCTCACCAAGTACACCACGCCCACGGAGGTGCTCATGGTCAAGAAGCTCTTGGACGCCAAACTCCAGCTCATGCTCAGCTACAATCCCGACATCAACAGCCAGGCCGCTGACCTCGAGTTCGTTAGCAATTATCAGGCCATCCAGGTCGGCGTGAGGAACACTTTCGGCTACGTACGCAGCAGCAGCGAAGCCAACTCGGCGCCGCAGAACAAGCAACCGCCAATCGCCCGGCCCACGGCTCTCAACAGCACGGGCAGCAGCATCGGCAACAGTAGCAACGCCAGCAGCGGTCCCGGAAGCTCCGGCTCATTGGGTGGCCTGCTCCTCGATCGACCTTACAGCAACGGCCTCATCTCGTCCGGCTCGAACTGCAACTCCAGCACCTCGCCGTCGCCCTTTGAGAACGCCGGTTGCGTTATATCCAAGCGATTTTCTTCGGCCAACAGTTTAGGCCCTTTCTCGACGAGCATCAGCGACCTCAACATTAACGGAATGAACAACCCCTACGAAAAGTGGAGCAACGGCAGTAGCGACAGCTACCAAGTGTCCGTCAACTCGGCCGACCATTTCCCCGTCCCAGCGATTACCGCTGTTAACGCTCAAGGTGCGCCCGGAGACTCGGTGCTCGATCTCACCTCCAAGCTCATACCACCAACGGCCATATTCCCCCTTAAATCGCAAATCAAACGACAGAAAATGATCTATCACTGCAAGTTTGGCGAGTTCGGCGTGATGGAAGGACAGTTCACCGAGCCTTCCGGAGTGGCTGTCAACGCTCAAAACGATATCATAGTGGCGGACACGAACAATCATAGGATTCAGATTTTTGACAAGGAAGGACGTTTCAAGTTCCAGTTCGGAGAGTGCGGCAAGCGCGATGGACAATTGCTCTACCCGAATCGCGTGGCTGTAGTTCGCACTTCCGGCGACATCATTGTGACCGAGCGCTCGCCCACGCATCAAATTCAAATTTACAATCAGTACGGACAGTTTGTGCGTAAATTCGGCGCAAACATACTGCAGCATCCCCGCGGAGTTACTGTCGATTCCAAAGGACGTATCGTCGTGGTCGAGTGCAAAGTCATGCGAGTCATTATCTTCGACCAAGCCGGCAACGTCTTGCAAAAGTTCGGCTGCTCGAAGCACCTCGAATTCCCCAATGGCGTAGTGGTCAACGATAAGCAAGAGATCTTCATCAGCGACAATCGCGCTCACTGCGTCAAGGTTTTCGATTACGAAGGCGCGTATTTGCGACAAATCGGAGGCGAAGGTATAACCAACTACCCCATCGGCGTTGGCATCAACGGAGCTGGAGAGATCCTCATTGCTGATAATCACAACAACTTCAATCTAACCATATTCACTCAAGATGGACAACTGGTATCGGCTCTTGAAAGCAAAGTCAAACACGCCCAGTGCTTCGATGTGGCTCTCATGGATGACGGCAGCGTCGTATTGGCTAGCAAAGATTATCGACTCTACATTTACCGATACGTACAAGTACCGCCAATTGGTATTTAGAGTCACGCCCCACGTCACGACGATGATTCGCTCTATTTTACAAGTGTCATAACAGCAAGAAGAAAGAAGAGAAATGAGTTTATTGCGATGCCGTGTGAAGATTAGCTATAGAAGATGAAAAATATTAAAGTCAGCTGATTCACGTGTGTGTGTGAGTGTGTATGTGTGTATGCGCTTATCGTTTCTCCGCTGTAAACCCCTCTTCTATAGATATAAAGTTGTGTGCTTATGCGAGCGCACGCGTTCTCTCGCAACCCTATGACAAGAAGGTCAAGGCGAAGGGAAATTCCAGAAGTCATTCTACTCTGCGTGGAGCTTGGAAAATATTGTATGATTTCGAACTCTTCTTATGTTTCGTAAATGTATCTCGAAAAATCTTTCTGCGAGATGAGAGATAGACAACACATCGGATAAATGAGGAAAGTGTCGCTGCGAGAAATTGATAAAAAAGAATCCCTATTTGTTACGTTGCTCAAAAGGCATGAAACTAGGATAAAAAATTTAATGAAGACGTGCGACAAAACTTACTCTTGTTAATGTTGTTATAAGCTAAAAAATACTGTTGTTGTTTAGTTGTAGAGCTCGCCACCGCTAGTCACTTTCCCTTTACTATTATTCATCTGAATCCTATTTTTTATACTTTTTGTACTTCCCTTTCACCCAACTTTATCCAATGTCGTGTTATTTCCAAGCATCCATTCGACAAGTGTTGTATGTATTGAACTTCAATACATTTGTTAAAATTTCTTGCATTTTCATCATCCCATTATTGATTAACTTTATAATTGTGAGTTTTTATGTATTATATAATTTGTATGTTTTATTTATTTTTTTTTTTTTTCTATTACACTCTGTTGACAACTTGACTACGTATTCAAGGCGCGTTTGATCATTCGAAAAACAACATTGATTGTCCACAGTCAAAATCGTATTTAATGTTCATGAGACATTTTATTGAAAATGTTGATAAATGGCGTAAAACGAACCAATTTTTCAGTTCGTTGTTCAGGGTAGCTTTACTTTGTTGATAATTGTTTAGGTATTATGATTGATTTTTTTCGATTCTCTTGTTTCGAAGACAAGTTTATGTCGTCTGATTTATTGTATTGTTCTATAAAAGGTTGAAAAAATTTACAAGTTTTGAAGACCTGACACGCATCGTTTATGGCTCAATGATTAAAGGGGTAAGATGCCTGTATTATTTTTATAAAAGTAGCCGTTATTGTGAAGTAGTCTAAAATTTGTCTACACAATGGGTCATTTCAACTTTTAAATATTGTCGCCCTTTTTATTAACGATACAAATGACCATTATAATTAGTTATTAGTTACTTTTAAATAGATTATATTTTATTACTTACTTCGATTATTACTATAATTATTATTATTGCTATTAATATCTTGATTATTATACATATAATTGCTATTGTAATGACACGAAGGAGTATAAAAATAGTGATATCTCACGCGTATATTCTTAATTTAGTCGGTTAGATTTATCTCATTTCTTTCATTTACTTGCACACAATGATGGGCTGGAATGAGCTTACAGTTATGAAATGAACTTTCTCGTTATTTATTATTACTATTATTGATTTACATCAAATGCTAGTTAACAATGTTTTATCATTTTGATTTTTGAATTAACATTCTACTATACGATGACTGCATTTAGAGCAGTTTTAATGACTGAATAGAAAAAAGTAAAAAAATTTGAATTATTCAAATTCAGGATTTTCGTCGAAAATTAATGCTATGTTATCGTATACTTAAATTTTCAATTAAATTCAAGTTTTTTACTTAATAATTGTGACAAACCCAGCTCATGAGATGGGATCGTTTGTTTTGCTTCATATTTGTCTTGTATATTCTATCCTAATGTTTCATGTTTGTAACAATCAAGTTTCTTTGATCAGAGTCCTTTGCGTATTAAATATGTATATAAATATATATTTTTAAATTTAAGAAATCGTTTCGTATATACTGTAAAAAATAACGATGCGATAAAGTTTAAAAGTATTTTGAATACTAAATTTGCATCGATAAAAAATGACAGCAAACAAAGTGCACTCAAATCAAAGAGTTGAATATTTGTTTTCATTTGAGTGTAAAGATTCAAAACTCAAAAATAAAAAGCAATGCAGACATGAGACTTGGGATGTAATTTAAGGTGAACTTAAGTTAAGCATTGGACGTGTCTATTTGGATTATAACGAGGTAAAGCAAACTACCCATAACTTCCAGTATTATATGCCGGTTCAAAGTTGACAATATTATTTGGTATCATTTATGAAAATGTAATCTCATTTAATTTAGGTTGTTTAGTTAGAAAAAATTTACAATCTTATACAAATGGATGCAAAACTTTTTGCTCTGACATTATTTATTTTATTCATTTTTCGCGCATTTCACGAAAAATGGCGAGATTAACTTGCATTTCCTATATTACAAGCGTTCAAGCGGAAAAGTGTTAGCGAAAAGAGCGAAATCCGCGGAACTGATACACTCAGTAATGCTTGCTGAACTTATTTTCTCGTAGAATCTGTTGTGTTTAACTTCATAATTAAATAGATTATTAATTAGTTATTATCAATTATTATTTTTATTTACAACAAATAATGAACTTTTTATTAATACTATCAATTTGTCAGTTTGAGCTGTTATCCAAGTAACGATTGAGATTTGTAAAAAAATGATACATTTTGTCTCCATGTACACGAGTTTACAAATTTTGTAATCTTCTCGAACGTATTTTTAGTTTTTGACTATTATCTAGGTATTTTCCTTACTTTTGTTTCGTATATTTGTGTTTTATAATAGTTTTTGTTTATCTTTCCATTCATGTTTCTTGAATTTTGTTTTTCACTACCTCGACTTAATATCATGCGTATTTTACGAAATAGGTTGCAATAAAAAACTTATTGATTGTAGTTTGAGTGCACGAGTCTCCAACATGCATACATAAACGTGGTACATAAATTGTTTTGTTTTAAATTTTCCACCGATAACATTATACAAGCGTTAGCTTCGTTGATTGGACTCTTAAATGAAATTTTAAATACAATGAAACATCTTTGTTGCGTACGTAACTATTATAAAATGTTGTTAATTGTTGAATGATAAGTCGCTAGACGATGATATTTTGCATGTGCTTGGCTGTTTTTTGTTTCATCATATTCAAATTTTAATATCACTGCCCTTGCCGGCGAAGAGGTGACTAGTCTCATGAAGTTTGTCAGTTTTAACTATCAATTTTTGCTACTCGTTCGATCGAATATAATACTTTTTTATCGATTATATTATTTTTCTGAGAGAATGAAAATTTGATAGCGCACTAAATTTTGCGCCGAAAGTTTATATTATTGTGATTTTTAATTGCCCTGAAAATTCAATTTATATTGTTTTAGGAAAAAATGGATTGGTTGAAGTGGCTTGAACTTTGTTTCGACTTTCGAGCGAAATTTTAAATAATTTTTTTCATTCTCTCAGACATATGAAATGCAATTATTATTGTACCAATTGAAATTAAATTCTGCGTAGCTGATGTACTTAATTATTTTTGACCGAACGATTTGTTTTGTTAAAGCAAAGCTCGATAGTTAAAACTAGTAGCAACTTCAGATTAGCATCTCTATCGCATTACAATGCATTATTAAAAATTTTACATGATTATAACTAGCATTTATCGTACTTGAACTGATGTTTGACTAAGTAAGCTTGACGTGATATGTCAGTTCATATATTGAAATACTTGATTTACCTTGTAATAGTATTCTCTCAAAATGTTAAAAGTAAACAGACATTGTGTCTATTACGATCCATTGTACAAATGTATGCACAAAGAGAATTTTTTGGTACTTGCGTAATCTCTTACAGACTTTTTACTTCTAATTATGTGCAAGTTCAAACACAAGTAAATCTATCGTTGAGCGTATTCTTATTATATTATTATTAATATTTATTATTATTATTATTAATATTATTATTTATTATTATATTATTTATTTTTATTATCAATATTATTATTTTTAAATACTAGTAAATTGCACAAAAATAATGACTGAAAGAGAGCCCGATTTACGGAAAGAATATAAAGTATTGCAATACATACGAATGGTTTTCACACCTGATAAATTTATGATAAAATTAGTCGCGTTGCATTGATGATTGTCCATTACACTTACACAACTTCATAACGTACTATTCTTGCCGATATAAAAATCTTATGCTCGCCGAAGTTAATGCATAAGCGTTTTATGATGTAAATATTACGTATGTACGTGCTTCAAACTTGAGCTCTAATGAGCGCAGAAAGACTAAATCAATAATTCCAATTTAACCGTTTAAACGCAAACGTGACCAAATTTCAAGTGATAAATGACATTCTTTGTGAAAAGCCGTAGTGCAGAAACTATGGAAATCATAAATATAAATAATGACTATTCGTTTATTGTACTATGATTATTATCAATATTATGTACTATTATTGCTCTGTCTCTCTTTTTTTGTAATGGTTTGTTATGTTATTATTATTTTTTAAAACGATACGTGACTCTATCGACTTCTCCTCGTCAATTGTTCTTAATTTAAATGTAAAGCGTATTTTTGTTTGTTTTTTAGTTATTTTTTTGTTGTAAATGCTTTTTAATAATATTTCCAGTTCAAAAATATTACTTTATCTGAGTTTTTTATTTTACATTTATACTTTTGCCTCCTTGCCCATCATTATTATTTATTTCACATACCATTTCTCCTGACCTACCCGTATACAAGTATGTTACGATATTCTCGTTCAAACAGATGCACGAAGTATTTCCGACGATCCTGTGTGTGTGTGTGTGTGTGCTTGTGTGTAGTATTATATTTTATTCTCATGCTATAGTCTTGAAAAGTTTTCGAGCAAAGAAAAGTGTATCACGACTAAGGAAGAAAGGAATGTAATTAAGAAATGCAAGTTCTGGATCTCGTCGCCAATCAAACAACACAAGTTACTATGCTTATAAATTTTTATAACTGGCTCATTTTTTCTGTTTCTCGTGATACTAAAAACAGCTTTATTTTGGTGGTGAATCAATCACACTTCAAAGTTCAAAGGGTCCAAAAAATGAGATCACTAATCGTTAAAAATAAAAAAAACACTTTTCATTGATTCAGTACTGTCGTAAAATCGTATGTTTATATTGAAAAAATTGACATAAAAGTTCACGAGCGATAAGAATGTGGAAACGATTTGTCAGCCTTGAGATCCAGGCCTTTCAAACAATGTATTAGCTATTATACACTTTAATGTGCCACAAACTGTATCAGAAGCCTTCGCGTGATTCGGAAGGTGTCTGCAGACATATTAGCACAGATTTGGATGATTAAAACTGCAATAGCAAGGTTTTATCGTCATATAAAAATTCAGGATATTCCAAGTTTCGAATTCACTGAAATAACTTACCTACAGGACAGTCGCAACGTTTTTTTCTCAATTCTTACTTCTAAACTGTATTTTAGTATACAATGATATAATGTTTACATTATATTAATTATTATACTGTAAAATATATATTTGTGCATTGTATATGCATTAAAGTACATAGAAGGAACTAATCATGAACTTTTAATCGAGAAGCGCGACGAAGGGAATATTTTATATAATATAAATAAAAAGTTAAGTTCTGATGAAATAAAACGGTTAGCGTATGGAAATTCGATGAGCACTTGTCGAGCTTCGGGCCCCGATTATTGTTCGTTTACGATTGTGAAATGTTCTTACAGATATATAATTTTTTACGACACTGAATGAGACGATCGCCAGGTGTTGACGAATCTCCATGCTGTTATTATATATACGATATGATATATATAAAAAAAATTATAAATATTATTATTACGTGTAAGATATAAAAAATTTAACGCAAGCGTTGAGCATAACTTGATGTTGAAGTTGTTTTCGCAATCTCTCTTGGGCTTTTAATGGTTTGTGCGCATATACGTGAACCAAATATTTACGTTAACATATCACGAGATCGGTAAAAAAAACCTTAAACGTAAGACTGGTATAAAAATTAGTTTAAACACGCTCCTTTTGACAATACTCTCGGTTTGTTTACCCAGCTATGTATCGACCGAAATAAATTGACCACGAGTTTCCAAACTCTCTCTATTATTAAAATTGTACGCATTTTCTAACATATCAGTTATGCAAGCTTTGCGATGCTTCAAAATTAAACATATAAAAATTTCATACTTTAATTCGAGAATTTTAAACCCCAACGAACTGTAGCGAGCGTTAAATAGTCGATAATAATAACAGGACGTTGTTCACCTACCCCCCTTGGCAATGTCCAAAACTTTGTTGTCAATAAAAGACCATCTAAATAATCTTTGAATTAGTTTAAAACTGCATCAATAATAATAATAATAATACTAATAATAATACTAATAAAATAATATTGCTATTATAATTTATGAAAAAACGTTGCAAGATTAAAGGCACGAATTGGTGATAAGAAAATGCTAGTCGCGAAATGGCATTGATACGTATATTGAATAATAATATTTAGTATATAAAGAACTAAAAAGCGGGGAAACGATTCTTCAATCTGATTTGACACACACGCGTGAAATATACTCTTCTGTAGTCCTTAAATGAAGAATTAAAAATTAAATAATGATAGTCACTTCGAAAATCGTGCATCGGTGAAATAAAAAGGAGATGCTATGATGAGAGAACGAGATGAGAAAAAAAATATTTTCATCGAAATATTCGGCTGAATAATATCTATTACGAAAAAATTTTCTAAAAGTTACAGTTTAATCCTTTCCTCTCGTAAAATCCTTCAAGGAATGAGCATTTTCAAATAAAATATTGGGCGTATATAAGATATATATTTTTGTACCTTCGATAAGAAACTTTGATGAAAAAGCGAGCAGCGCAGGTTCTTATTTTCTCTATCTTCTCTCGCTAAAAGCAAAAATATTTTCGATCGTTCATTCTTAGAAAAGGAGACTCAAAGGTACACTCCAATACAGAAATCACAAGATCTCTGGTTGGTGATTTTTGAAACGAATCGTCAACGAAATGTCTAATTCGTCGACGATTTAAAAAAAAAGTAAGGAGAAAATGATAGTGCACATTATTCTTCCCGGGCCCAATTTTGATGTTATATGACCGATGGCGAAGTAATTGATTAGTGTGGGACAATGGACATGAAAAATAAAAACATGTGAGGATTTGCATAGTTGATTACTATTTTTAACTAATCATTGAGAAAAAATATATATATTAATGATAATAAATACTTGGTACATTAAAACATTGTTGCATGCCTATTGTAGTTGAAGAATGACAGAAAAATACACGCCAAACAAATTTCAAAGAATGGTTAAGGATTAAGGAAGGCAAACTATATTATATACATGATATCTATATTCTGTAATGACGTTAAGAATTATTTATTATTAAAAAATAAGAGTATAATTTCGAAAAATGATAAGCCGTGAAAAATGATTAAACAATAAAATGCATAAGTTGTGTGCATTTTTTGCTTGTGCATTATATAAAACTTTCATATTTTCGTTGAACTCTTATACATATAAACAATTTTGTGATTGACGGATGTAACAATGATAAATAAGATTAATCAATCTATATACTTATGAGCTAACGTGTGCATAACTACTGTAGATGAGAAAATCCATAAAACCGGGACCGTGTACCATTCGATTTTGAACAACTTTCAAATCCATAATAAAAGATATGAAATTGTCGTCTTACTAAATAAAAAATCTTCAAGATCTGAGTATTCACTGACGAAGTAGAACATCGAATTGATCAAAAAGTTTTTAGGTTTTATTAAAAGTCATGTAAAAAAAACTATGTAAATGATTCGTGTGACCATCTTAGCGAAAAAAACAAATTATCAATATTTTGCATGATTTCAAACATTATTTCCTGATAAGACTGAGAAATCAAATTATAAAAATAGTTAACTCTTTGGATTTGGTGTTGTATGATTCTATACAAATGTCTACGCATCTTGGACTTGTGTATATCGGTCGATCGCGTGTATTCAGCTCGGTTAATTTGAATTAACTATAAATATGACTTGAATTGTATGTGATCAATCTCGATTTATATATGATAATCATATGACACGCGGAAAACCGATCCGTCCATGGATCTGAGTAAATCACGAACAAAATGTGAAGACAGCTAAGGGGTGGCAAAAATATTCGTTGAATTTTACTGTTGAATAGTTAACAATTTTTCACTCGAGCGTACTACTCTCATTGTACATTGAATATTAATGCACGAAGCTATTAGTCGTAGCACAAAGAAAAAAAGAAGACATTTTTTGGGTTCTGAGACAACACTGTCCTTTTTCAATTCGAACCTCTCCTGCACCTACCGAGAGAATTCTAAACATAAGAAAACGACAATAGTTAAACGGTTAAACATGTGCTAGTGAAAAAAACGGATCTTTCAAAGTTGATATTCTAGAGAATAAAAGTTCATTCGCAAATGTTAAACTTCTCACTTGTAAAGAAAGTGTTGTACAGATGTAGGCATTTTTTGATGAGTCAAATAATTCAATTAACAATTATAATCAATCGTAGAACTTCGGAAACTGTTTCGCATGTATGTTGAGAAGAAAAAAGTAAAAGTGATAAAAATTTACATAATAAAAAATAAGTAGTTTTGTTTCGACGATAACTATGAAAGTTATTAGGCTATCGCATTAGGAGCTTGCACATTCAGATGGAACAAAAAGTAATCGAGAACGAGTGAATAACATCTCTCTGTACATCACTCGAGCGAAAAAGTTCACTTCTCGGCTTGATTTTACTTGATTCCATGTGATGAGTCAAATCCTGATGAAAAATATTGCGAAGTAATTTTTATTTCGACATATAATTCTAATTATATGAAATAAAGCATACACTTTTATTGAAAGTAAAAATGAAATTAAAAATCTTATTAGCTTGCTGCGTTATTGTGTAGAGTAAAAAAATTTGATTTTTTTTATTCATCAGATAATTTTAAAGGTCTTGGTGACTCGCACCATCTTGTTGAAAGATTTAAATAAGTTTTTGAAGTTTTCATCATCTTTGTCATGGTAATTATTATTACTATTGTTAACATCATCATGGTCATCAACGTCATGAAAATTATGATATTATTTTTATATTAAAAAAATGAAAACCAATCATCTAGTCATGGCCACTTGGATAATTCTTTCGCCATTCTTTTGGCATTGAGTAGGATTTTAAATATTTCCATTAATCCAAGAACAAAATGTATACACTCTCAAACATCAACATTAGTGTAAGCGATTGTAAACTTTAATTCGTGGTGATTGTGAGTAGTTAGTAGGCTTTTAGGCTTGAATAAATGATATTTGTATCATTTATTTACTATTATTTATCATTATTACCATTATTAACATTATTATATTTATTATTACAATTATATTATACAATTTTTGGTCTTAAATACTATTAATAATTTTTAAGGTGATTGAATTATTGTACTATTATCTATTAGTTCTTCATCATTTATGAGAGCATAACTTGAACTATTTTGTTGTTTGTCAAGACGGAATGCGTCAAATTTCTATTGTGAACTCGTGAAAAACTATTACAAATTTTATCGCCAAAGTCACTATATT